TCCATGGCATCTAATGGTAGTCATCTCAAGGTGGGGGGGGGGAGGAGTAGCAGGAAAGGGGTAAGGGGGAAGAAAAAAAAAGAAAAAAAATTACATGATAACTGTATTATATATATTTAAAAGGAATAGCAAGTTGTACATAATAGATATGCAGTTTCATATACAATTTTTAAAATTACTTATACTGTTATCGAAATGCTTGTTTTATTCCATAAATTAAAAATAAAATATATAAAAAATTTTAAAGTCTCATTGCCTCAAATCTTTTCCCATCCCAATCCATTCTTCACTCACCTGCCAAACTGATTTTTCTTTTTTTGGTAAGTAGTATTAAAATACTATCCCCCCCCCAATTACATGTAAAGATAATTTTCAACTTTGATTTTTTTATAAGATTTTTGAGTTCTAAATTTTTTCTCCCTCCCTCCTTCCCATCGCCTCCTCTCCAAGAGGCAAGCATTCTGATATAGGTTATAATGTGCAATCATGTAAACATTTTTCTACATTAGTCATGTTGTGAAGGAAGAAAGAGAACAAAAGGGAAAAGCCACAAAAAAGTTAAAATGGTATGCTTTGATCTGCATGTAGACTTCATAGTTTCTTATCAGTGGATAGTACTTTCCAGCATGAGTCTTTTGGAAATGTCTTGGATCATTGTGTTGCTGAGAAGAGCTAAGTCAATCATGGTTGATCATTACACAATGTTGCTGTTACTGTGTATAATATTCTCCTGGTTCTGCTCACTTCACTGAGCATCCACACTGATTTTTCTAAAGCATTCTTCTGACCCTGTCATTCAGTGAACTCCAGTGGCTCCTAGTACTTCCAGGATCAAATATAAAGTCCTTTCTTTGGCATTTAAAACTTTTCAGTCTGGCTTCTTCTTACATTTTTTTGTTTTCTTATGCTAACTCTTCTCCACACATGCTACAGAGCAGCTGAATGTGTCTGCTTGCTCTTCTTTGAATATGACATTGCCGTCTACTGTTTCTGTGCCTTGGCGCTGGCTATCCCTCATGGCCTTGGCCTAATTTCTTCCTGCAAGACTGAGCTCCAGTCCTATCTTCTGCAGGAGAGCTTTCCTAGTCCCTTTGACTGCTGGTTTCTTCCCTTCTTGGATTATCTTCCAACTCTTTTGGGGATCTTTTATTACCTAGTTTTTTATATGTTGTCTTCTCCCCCTTCTCCCCACTCCCACCCTCATTCCCTCCATTAGAATGTAAGCTCATCAAGGGCAGGGATTATTTTTTCCTCTTTTTATTTTCAGTACTTGACACAATGTCTAGCACAAGGAAGTGTTTAATATATACTTCCTGAGTATATATTAACCTTACCTCTCATGCGTCAACTTTTTATAATCTGGATTCCAACTCTAGAACTCTATTGAAATTGCTTTCTTAGAGGTTACCAATGATCTCTTAATTGATACATTTGATGGCCTTTTGGTAGTTATTACCTTTGACTTCTCTGTAACTTTCCACCCTGTAAATTATTTGCTTCTCCTCCTCCCCTCCCTCTAACCTTCTTGGATACTCCTGCCTATCTTGGCTTTGGCTTTTTCCTCTCCTTCACCAATTTCAGTATCCTTTAATGGAGCATTAGCCATACCTGGTCTTGCCTTTGGTCCTTTATCTTCCAATCACCTACTGAACATCTCAAAGTGGATGCCCTATAGACATCTGACATCATACCCAGAGTTGAACTCACTATTTCTCCCCTGCCCCCATCTCTCCCATTTTCCTTGACACCCAGGCACAATTTAGGTGTTATCCTTAACTCCTCAATCTTTCTCATCCCCCTTATCCAATCTGTTCTCAAGTCCTGTTGATTTTATTTTTGATAGTATCTTTCATATGTTCCTCCTTGTTTCCTCTGACACTAGTGCAAACCCTTGTTACCTCATGTCTGGACTATTGCAAAAGACTGTTGCTTGGTTTCACTGCCTTGAGTCTCTCCCCATTCCAGTCTATCCTCCACTTAGCTATCAAGCTGATCTTCCTAAAGCATAGGTCTGGCTATGTCACTCCCTCATGCCATAAACTCCAGTAGCTTCCTGTTGCCTCTAGAATCAAATGTAAAATCCTGTTTGGCCTGTAAGGTCCTTCAAAATCTGGCCCTTTCCTATCTGTGCAGTTTTCTTATTCCTTATTTCCCTCCATGTACTGTATGATTCAGTGATACTGGCCTCTTTCCTCTCTCTCTCTCTCTCTCTCTCTCTCTCTCTCTCTCTCTCTCTCTCTCTCTCTCTCTCTCTTTTTAAGTGAGGCAATTGGGGTTAAGTGACTTGCCCAGAGTCACATAGCTAGGAAGTATTATGTGTCTGAGGCCGCATTTGAACTCAGGTCTTCCTGAAACCAGGGCCGGTGCTCTATCCACTGTGCCACCTAGCTGCCTCCTCTTTTCTATTTCTCACACAAGACATTACATCTCCTGACTTCAGGCATTTTCATTGGCTGATCTCCATTCCCAGAATGCTCTACCTCTTCATCATCTTCTGGCTTCCCTTCCCTTCTGACTTTTTTTAGGGCTCAGATAAAATTCTACTTTCTGGAAGAAGCATTTCTTGATTCTCTTTCCCTCTGAGATTATTTCTAACTTATCTTGTATATAGCTTACATGTACAGTTGTTTAAATGTTGTCTTCCTCGTTAGAGTATAAACTCCCTGAGAGCAGGAAATGTTTTTTGCTTTTCTTTGTATTTGCAGCACTTAGCACATTGCCACATAGTAGGCACTTAATAAATGTTTCTTGTCTTGACATTCTTTTCAGTCTTTTCTCAACTTCTTTCTTTTTCATTTTTGATTTCTTAATGATTTCATCAACTCTTAAAAGTCCAGTTATCACTTCTGTACAGTGATTTCCAAATGTGTGTATATGTAGTATGAATGCATACATTTCCTGCCAACACCTCAAACTTATCATGTACCAAACTGAACTCATCATCTTCCTCTCCTATACTTACCTTGTCTTCAAATTTCCCTATTTCTGCTGAGAGGACTACCATCTGTTCTGTCCTTAACCCTAAGTTAACAAGATTGGAAGCATTTGAGTTATCTTGAACTTTTCCATCTAATCTGTTGTCAAATCGTGCTGATTCTATGTTTGTGTCTCATATCTGTCCTCTTCTCTCCATTCATATTTAACTTCAATTTCAACTTCAACTCACATGTACTAAGCACCTACTATATACATGACACAATGAGGGTCCTGGGGATATAAAGAGAAAAACAGAAACAAAAACAGATCTCTGTTCTCACTACCAGTCCAGTTCAGGCCTTCATCAATAAGTAACTTCCTTGAGGGAACTTATTTTTGTCTTTGTATGTTCCATGCCTAATGTAGCACATTGTTAATAAATGTCTGTAGAAATTAATTGAATTAGAATTTTTGACTAGAGGTCTTTTAAAATCTTGTTTTCCAAACTGAACAGGTCACTTAAGCAACTAAACTTTAGGATGTTTACCTAAATTGAGACAGACTTCTCATTTTTCTCAAATTCGTTCATCTTCAGCTGAAAACCAATGGTTTTTCATTAGCTAAAATAGAATCACCTTCCAGCACTAGACAAGAATAGTTTTAAATGCCCTAAAATAGTGTCTTTCTTTGTAATTTATGAGTACATATATTCAAAGCAGATTTGTGTCCAATAACTATGCTTTCAAATGTAGCTGGAGCAGTGGCTAGGGTGGTACATGTCTGTAATCCCTGCTACTGGGGGAGGTTGAGGCTGGTGGATCATTTGAGCTCTAGAATTTTGAGCTGAAATAGGCCCAAAGCCAATCAAATGTCCCCACTAGATCTAGCACAAATATGATGAGCCTTTGGGAATAGAGGGTCACCAGGCTGCTTCAGGAGGTGTGAACTGGCCAGATCAGACATGGAACAGGCCAAAGCTTCCGTGCCAATCAGCAGTGGCATTAGTTCATTGAGTGATGACCACACACCCCCTGGATGAAATGGTAAGGAAAGAGAAGGAAATAATCATTTATGTAGTGCTTACTATCTGCCAGGCACTGTGCTAAGTGCTTCACAAATTTGATGTCATTTGATCTTCACAGTAACCCTAGGAGGGAGGTGCTACTGTTATCTCCATTTTACAGTTGAGAAAACTGAGGCAAACGAAGATTAAGTAATTTGCCCAGGGTCACACAACTAGTCAGTGTCTGAGGCCAGATTTGAATTTGTATTCCTGGTTCCAAATCCAGCACTCTATCCTCTGTTCTACCTAGCTGCCTATGGAGACATAGGTTAAACAAACAAACCAAAAGAATAGAGCTGGAATTCAAACTTAGGACCTGAAGAATTATGGAATGGAATCTTTTGGTGGGTAGGGGTGTTGGGAGCTGTAGCCATATACATCAATATACACGTAGAGGTTACATTTGGACTCTGTTCTATACCTGTGTATAGGATCGTATACATGGGCGTTTATATATGTGTGCGTGTGTATATCTCTGTGTGTGTACAAAGCTGTGACTTCCTCAATATAGAGAACTCTTGGTGTGGAAACTCTCACACTAAGGCAAATTGCAATTCATCTCCTATTTATAATCTTCAAGACTTGTTTGGGGGCACTGAGAGATTGTGGGAATTACTCATAGTCAGATAGCTAGTATGTATCACAGGAAGGACTTGAACCTAGAACTTCTTGACTCTGTCCATGATACTACATGATCTCTTTGTTTTTAGTATTAGTAAGAGAACATCAGTAACTGTTAATTATCTTACTGCTGGTTTGTCAGACTAATACTGCAAAAATTTCAGTAACAACAAAAATGACGACAATGTTAATATCACCACTAAACCTGTACTCAGTCTTTACAATAACTGGACACACTAGAATGGAGTAATAAAACACAGTGAAGTTCATTCTCACCGGGAAAGTAAAAGTCCAGGATAGAAACACTGGCTGATTAAAAATATGTATTTTTGTGAAAAAATATTACATAACATCCAATAATGCTAAACTTGTAATTTATCTGTTTATTTAAAACTTACAGCGGCTGCCATCTTGAGCAAAATAAATCAGTCTGTGGATCCTTGTGAAAACTTTTTCCAGTTTGCTTGTGATGGCTGGATAAATGATAATCCAATTCCAGAAGATATGCCAAGCTATGGAATCTATCCTTGGCTGAGACGCAACGTTGACCTGAAACTAAAGGGTGAGTTTCTCCTGGATCTTGGGTGGTCTGCTTTATAGGGGGAATGTTGACCAGATAAACATAGTTTCTCTTTTCTTCCTTGTTTTTCTGTTATACTCCATTTACATTTTCCCTTTTGAAATCTTTTTCTTCTTTCAAGTCCCGGTTGAGATGTTGCTTCCTTAACAAAACCTTTCCTGATCTTGTCAACCATCTGAAAGCAGCATTTTTCTTTTGCATATTTCTGAGAGTCTGGACTCATCTTATGCCTTATGGCGTTCTTGTATGTGTATGTATCTTATTTTCCCATGAGACTGCATAACTTTGTACCTCCAGGGTTCTAGGACAGAGTAGGATCTTAAAAAATGTCTATTGAATGGAATTGGTTTGGGGTTACTGATTTAATAGATGAATTTCCTGAAATGCTCCTTTTAAAAATATGTAACAACTAAAAGAAGGTATATAGGTCTTCAAACATAGGCTAACAGACCACTTAGAATAGTGGATTTTAGTTGGGTTTGGTTGCTTTTGGGATGGCTGGGGCTGCTGGATCACTCAAGCTCAAGGGTTCTGAGCTGCACTAGGTTCTCTAATCGACTGGGTATCTGAATTAAGTTCAGCACCAATATGGGGAGCTTTCTGGGAGGGAGGGGCTACTAGGCTCCCCAAGGAGTGGTGAACTAACCTAGGTTGGAAATGGAATGGGTCAAAGCTTCTGTGCTAATTGGCAGTGGGATCAAGCCTGGGTGAGATAGAGAGATCCAGTCTCAAAACAGAAAAATAGGATAGCAGATTTAGAACTGAGAGTCATTAGATATCAATTAAGTGATTTTCCAGGGTCACAGAAGTAGCAAGTAATAGAGCCAAGATTTGAACTGAGGTCCTTTGACTCCAGATACAATACTCCTCACCACTGTACCTTTCCCCCTGGCCCCCACTTTTGCTTTAACTGGGAATGTTACAGAGAGAATTTTTTTCCAGGTATGGGTTAGAGTAGCTGGCCTTTTCAACTCTCAGTGGAATAGCAGTATATGATCTTATGAGTAGTCTTTGTTAGTTTTAATGACTAGTGACCAACGACTATGATTTGTATTTAATTGGGGTTCTGGGACAATGAATCTGTGCAACTATATGAGAATCCAATAAAGCATTATATCCGCATTTACCTCATATTCAGTATGTGATGTCCTTTAGGGTAAATAGTGCCTCTTACTTATTGTCTTCTGGTTTCTCATGGCTTGCAAAATGTACTTAACACCTCATTATGTATTCTTGGAGTTGTAGATCGGGTTTTTAAGAACTCTGGATGACCTGAGTGAGCATTTGGCAGTTGGTAAACAAGATGCCTGCTCATATGGTTCTTGTTAAATTATGAGATATCCCTGGGGAGCCCTCCTCCTCTGATATGTACATTTATTATATTTATATAAATACATGTAGCACTTGGGCACCCCTTCTCACACAAAGGATCCCAGAAAAAGCTATTCCAAGTTTTAGGTACTTTGTGGGTCAGGACACCCACTCAAAACCATAGCTCCCTGAGTTCTAACCAATGTGTTTATTTTTATCTGACAGACAGAGTTCACTAGTTCAAAGCAAAAAAGATTGAAATAGAATGCAAATACAATGATATTCCCAGAGCTTACTACCTTACCAGTGCAAGAGGGCATACATATTGAAGGGAAGGACATACAAATTTCTATAATGCCTACAATGTGCCAGGCACTGTGCTAATCTCATTTGACAGAGAATACATATGACCAGGAAATACATATTTAGGGTACATCTGTAAGGAACATGTATAACCATGGAACATATTAGGAGAGGCACACGCCAGGAACTCATATGGTTGGGACATAAATGAGGAACACATACACACACACACACACACACACACACACACACACACACACACACACACACACACACCGGGATATATGCCAGGGTAACTCAAACATTTGCTACTACAGGACTGCCATTGTTGTTTGGGGATATCTTCATAGACTCTCTGTTGCTCTCTGATGAGCATCATGTCTCTGTTCTCCACTGACTGCGCTGTCTCTGGGTAGATGTTACATCTCCTCTAGGCATTGTGTTGTCTCTGCTAGCCGTCTCTGGTCATTGAGCTCTTGAACTCTGCTACCATCTATAAGGAGTGGTAGCCAGAAAGCCTCTCTCTGACAAGGGTAGATTGAACTCTTTAGTGCAGTGAACCACCACCCTCAATCAAGGCAGCTTACAAAGGCATGTCAGAATGCCCTAGGACAAGATTGAGTCTATTTTTTGACTGCCTGTGTCTGGTGCTGGTTCAAGGTTCATGGTCCCATGTGACTGAGAATTAAAAGATTGCTACTAACTTCCAGTTCTCTCTTTATGGTGATTGTGTGCCCTCAAGCTCCTTTTTGGAGTGCCAAAAAAAAGCTCCAGAGGAATTATGTGGAGGCTAGGATTATAAAGATCAGCCTAGAAGAACCTCTTTGTCATGCAAATGACCATAGAATCATTAATTTAGGGCTGGAAGAAATCTTAGAGACCACTGAGTCCAAACCCTCTCATTTTATAGGTGAGGAAATTAAGGTTGAAAATGTTAAGTGACTAACCCAGAATCATGCAGTCAGTCAGTCAGTCAACTAGAATTTCTTTTTTAAAAAATTTTAAATTAATTATTTTTAGTTTTCCACATTCACTTCCATAAGCTTTTGAGTTTTAAATTTTCTCCCCCTCCCTCCCTTTCTCCCTCTTCAAAATGGCATGCAATTTGATATAGGATGTACATATACATTTCTATTAAATATGTTTTCATATTAGTCATGTTGTAAAGAAAAATTAGAACCTATAGGAAGAACCACAAGAAAGAAGAACCAAAACAAAACAAGAAAAAAAAATATCTAATAGTGTGCTTCGATCTGCATTCAGACTCCATAGTTCTTTCTCAGAATGTGGATAGCATTTTCTATCATGAGTTTTTTGGAGATTTCTTAGATCCTTGCATTGCTGGGAAGAGCTAAGTCTATTAAAGTTAGTCATCGTACAACATGGCTGTTACTGTGTACAGTGTTCTCCTGGTTCTGCTCACTTCACTCAGCATCAGTCGATAACAAGTCTTTCCAGGTTTTTCTGAAGTTTGCCTGCTCATCATTTCTTAAAGCACAGTAGTATTCCATTACATTCATATACCACAACTTGTTCAGCCATTCTTCAATTGATGGGCATCCCCTCAATTTCCAATTCTTTGCCATCAGAGAAAGAGCTGCTATAAATATTTTTGTACATGTGAGTCCTTTTCCCATTTTTATGATCTCTTTGGATACAGCCCTAGAAGTGCTATTGCTGGGTCAAAGGGTATGCACATTTTTATAGCCTTTTGGGTATAGTTCCAAATTGCTCTCCAAAATGGTTGGATCAGTTCACCATCAATGCTTTAGTTCAACTAGAATTTATTAAGTACCTACTATGTGCCAGGCACTGTGCTAAGCACTGGGGATACAGTGAAAGGCAAAAGGCAGACCCTGTTCTCAAGGAGCTCACAGTCTAAGGGAGGAGCTCATACTCTAAGTCTAATGAATGTCTGAAGCATCTGAATTTAAGTCTTCATGACTCCCAGCCCACCACGGCATCTAGCTATGGATTAGTGAAGTTCAATCAGAGCAAGAGATAAAAGAAGGCAAAGTGATTGCATAATTGCCTTGCACCTTTCTGGCCCACATTCCTAGCTATATTATGTAAACTGGTAAGACTTACCTTTGTGTTATGGGTGTTCTAAGCAGAGACACCTTTCTACATATACACCTACATATTACATAAATATGGTGGGAGGGGAAAGAAAGAGAACGGAAAAGGGGTGGAATATTGGTGATGTCCAAGTGTGGAAATATGTATGGTAGAAATCCTTCATTAGCAGGTGGCTTCCTTTGCAGATGAGCACTCGAATATAAAACGCTATTCCCCACTCAAGGAAGCAGGAAGTTTTTCAGACATGGAACCTAATTATACTGAGAATGCAAAAACAGTATGGTTTTTTTTTAACTTTTTTTTTTTCCAGACAATGAGTCAGGTCATGAAACTGAATCAACCACACCCAGTATGGGTATTGTAGGTGTTGGGAAGCCTCAGTCTCATGTCTTTCTTTCAAGGATAAAGACTGAATATGTTAATATCTCTGGAAAGAACAAGTATTAGAAAATAAGTTAATGAGAGTCATGTTTACATATCTATTGTCTTCTGGAGAGAAGGTGCACATTTCAAAAGTACAAGGGAATCACAATCCCACTTTTCTTTTTGGAGTTGAGCCTCAGTCAATAATAGGCTGGATCAGAAAGACAGTTCTTTTTTTTTCTTTTTTTTTGACAATTGGGGTTAAGTGACTTGCCCAGAGTCACACAGCAGAAGGACAGTTCTTAACCAGGCATGAATTCTAGCTTGGAATCACAAATGATTAACCTATAAAGAGGAACTACCAAGATCAGAGCAATAGATTTGCTAATAATTGTTCTGTGTGCTGGATATCAGTCTAAGTTTAGTCTTCAGCTTTTTCTTCCCTTTGCTTTTCTCCCCCTTAAAAAAATTTACTAAAGGAGGAAAAAAAAGTCCATATGGCTTCTACATACCCTCTGGTAATCATTTTTACTAAATTATAACCATACATAATAAGCTCCTGGAAGGCAGGGACCAGGAGTTTATATATAGTTGTTATATAACTCCTCCCCCCAATCTTATTTATCTTTTTATTTCCTTTAGTGACTAGCACATAACAGGTGCTTGATAATTTAAAAAGAATGGAATTGTATATGATCTCCATCTTCAATAAGAATGGGGGTTAGAAGACATTAAAGGACTTTTTAGGATTCTCCCCAGTAGAACTGAAGTCCCTTGGGGGCAGAATTTTTTTTTTCTCTTTGTAACCCTAAGGCCTTGCACACAGTAGGCATTTACTGGATTGAGATTTTGTTATTCAGAACTGAGTACCATCCTTGAAACATTTTGAAATGGAAGCCTACTATAAATGTGCTGCCTACCTGAAT